TCCCTTCACCCTGTGGTCAGATTTCTGTCTCTTCTCTGGGACGTCTTTCTTCTTCCCGCACTTCTCTCATCAGTTACCTCCTTGTACCACCAGGGAAACAGCAGTTCGGGCCCTAAGCCGGCCGCTGCCATAACTCGGGAAAGTATGACTCAGGCTCACAGTTTGAAGCATGTCACTCTGGGCTCCTCTCCCCCGGTCAGGATCAGAGATGTGCTAAGCCGCCTTGCCTTCCTTTGGGCCGTCCTGTTTCCAGGTCAGTTTCTTACCTAAGGACCTGCAGAGAGGCAGCGAGGCTTTGGGTCATCCCTGCCTCACTGCTCTCTCCCTGATAGCTGGCTGGTGGCTCATCAGGCTGGAGCAACTGGCCCATGTCCTGGGGCACCAGGGAGGCTTGGTCATCCTGCAGTGCTTGGCCTGCACCAGGATCAGCTACATCCACTGGTACCAGCAGCAGAAGGGCCCGGCCCTGAGGGGCTCCGCCAGCTGGCCATGTCCAAGTTCGATGTGCAGTGGGATTCCATCTTGAAAGCATATAAAATCACAGCCAAGGGTGGCAGCAGCTGGATCCCTGGCAGTGCTGAAGCTGGAGACAGGCATCAAGGGCGTGCATTACTGCACTGTCTGGGACCTGGGCAGCCCACACACTGCCCCAGCCCTGCACAAAAAGGACTCTTCCTCCCAATACAACAAGGCCTTGGGCATTTTCACTGACTCTTGGTTCCTTGGATTTCCCTGGGGCGTAGAAGGAAAAAAAGTCCTGTCCCTTGTCCCTCAGCATCCCCATCTATCCTAGATGTCCCTTCCCTGGTCCCACTACAGATGAGGCTCTCGGCCTGTGCAGACTCAGAAATCTGTCTATTTTGTTGAAAGGGGCCTGTTTAAAGATGCTCCAGTTCAGAGTCTTTGAAGCCTCCGCAGGGTAACCTGTGCTCCTGAATCCAGGCACCATTAGCCACGTGGACTAGTGGATTCAGGAGTCCATTTAGTTGGACTAAAACTAATTTTACCTGTTTCTCTTTGCTTTTGTTAAATGCAGCAACTAGAAGAATTTAAGTATGTGCCTCACATGGGTGACTCATATTTATTTCTATTGGACAGTACTGTTAGAGACTGATCATTTAAGAATCTGACCATCTCCCCTGGAGAATGCACAAATATAATATTTTGCAAGAGATTTCAAGGGTGGAGAACTCTCTGAGATTTAGCACAAAATGATTGAAAAGCTGGGACTGGAAGCCCATTCCTGTTTCCGGCTTCCAAGCTCTTGCCCCTGGGACTGTTACCATTTTGCAATAGGATCAGCAATTGGAAGCAAAGGAAACAAGATTGCCCACTTCTCAGTATTTTCCTCCACGGACAGGGTGCACAGGAACTGATGTGAGCAGACAGTCAGCGTGGCAGGGTGATGCAATACTCCCGGGATGAGACACTGGGACTTTGCCTTCCACTTCTCCTTGAATACCACCCCCACTTCTCGAGACTTTTGTTCTCCCATTTGACAAATGAAGATGTTCAGCCAAATGTCTACTAAATTATGTGACTATGATTTTTGTATTAAAGCAAAAACCATACAAATAAGAACACTATGCCCGCTACCTTCATATAATGCAGTTTTCTTTAACAGAAAAAAATGAAAGAAAAAAAAAAAAAAAAGAAAAGAAAGCTTGTGTTACTGATCCTCAACACCAAACAGGAAACCCCCTGCCAATTTATGTGCAGAAGAAAAAAAAAATTCTTTGAAGTATAAGCTGAATTTAAATGCCTTTTCAAGGGAATGCTTACACACTGTTGATGAGAATGTAAATTAGTACAATCTCTCTGGAAAACAGTATGGAAATTTCTCAAAGAACTAAAAATAGAAATACCACTTAATCCAGCAACTCCATGACTGGATATCCACCCAAAGAAAAAGAAATTATTATATTAGACTGCACTCATATTTATTGCCGCACTGTTCACAACAGCAAAACTGTGGAATCAACCTAAATGTCCATCAGTGGATGACTGGATAAAGAAAATGTGGTATATATACATGCACACAATGGAATACTATTCATTCATAAAAAATGAAATCCTGTTTTTTGCAGAAACATGCAAGAAACTGGAGGCTATAATCTAAGTGAAACAACTTAGAAATAGACAAATACTGGATGTTCTCACTTGTAAGTGGGAGCTAAATAATGTGTACATGTGGACACAGGGTGTGGAATGAGACTTCGGTGGCTTGTAAGGGTGGTAGGGAGCAGAAGGAGTACAGACAGAAATTAAATAATTTCATATCACAGTGCATATTATCCAGGTGTGGGGTATACTAAAAGCCAAGACTTCACCACTATGCATATTATGTGTGTAACACAATTGCACTTGTATGCCCTAAATTTATGCAAATAAAAAACAAAAACAAACAGCGTTCCAATGGGAGACTGAAAGTTTATGTAGGACTTGATGAGATCAACGAAAAAGATGAATGAATGTAAGTAAAGTCCAAACCATCCTGAAGAAACTCATGTTCCTTCGCTCATCATAAGTCCATCATGTTCCTTCTCTCATCGTCCACCTCCCTCAACTTCAGTTTTTGTGCCTGAGATTGCTAATTAAGACACGCCTTCCTTCTGAAGCAGCCCAACGTCTCCAGCCTCTACTGAAGGCTCGAGTCAGGGCTAAGGCCTTTCAGCTTGTGTCAGAAGGACAGGGGCAGTAGAGGAGTAAACTTTCATTCTGTTTTGGGGATGTTCCTTCATTTCATTTTTCTGATTGTGCTGATAAAACTGAATGGGCACAGAGAGAAGATATCCCCTCCGCTTCCTGCCCCCTCTCTCAGCGCTTGACTCCGAATAAGAGGAAATTTGGTGAAATGGTGATTACTGAGATGTGGCCAAAAGAGGAGCAAGCTCCCCGGTCCCCTCCTTACAGAACAACATCTTTCATTTCGTCAAGAGGAGATGCTTCTACTGCAGTGATCCTTCACCACCACAAACCTCCACCTTCACTCCTTACCAGTACCTGCTCCACTCTTCATGAGTGCTGTGACCTTGAGCGAGGTCTTACATTTCCTAGTCATCATCTCCAAAATAGAGGAAATGACAGTGTCCAAAGTTTATCTCCCTCTGAATTATACCACTTGGTTTCAGCCTCAACCTCCAGGGTAATAGACTAGCTTAGAGACCAAGATTGTATCTCTCTTAAGTGATATCACCTTCAGGGTCATCATCACCAGACTTCTCAACTTTTATTTCTTAGAAATGGTCCCAAGTTCTTTCTCTCTCATCGTCACTTGTGTCGGGGAGCCTTCCAGCTAGTCTGTCTCAGCAAGACAAGAGCGTGGCTGGTGCATCACTGCTGATGACCTGGGGCAAGTTCACAGAAGGCAGTGTGGCAGAGGATAAGTTTCCAAGGGATTGGTCCGTGTCAGGCACTGCCCTAAGCACTTTACCTGGGCTAAAGTTTATTCTTCACAACATCCAGTAAGGTAGGCCATGATTTTATTCTCATTCGGTAGATGAGAAAACAGAGGCAGGACAAACTATTCAAAGAGCCCAGGCTTTGCAGCCAGACAGAATGAATCTTAAATCTGTCACCAAGGTTTAATAAGTGTTAAACCTTGACCCATTACCTGACCTGCTTTGAGCAGGGCCTTGTGAAGATTATACTAAATTTATGGGATTAAATATGATAGTGGCTACAAAGTTCTTGACACATTACAGGCATTCAGTAAGTGTCCATTGCTTGGGAACTCTTCAAAAACTGTATTTTAAATGGTGAAGTTTTGTTAATATCAGAACAACAAATAAATACTGCAATGGCCGTCCATTCCCTCACTCCTTCAGTCTTTTATCTATTCAACAAACAACTGGGATTAGAGAGATAAACAGCACCTGATCATACTCCCCTGGGAACTCTAACTGGAGTCTGGCATGAGAGAGAAATGGGTGAACAGGCCAAGGCTTGGGCAGGAGGGAGGTGCTAGGAGAGAGGAAGGCACTAGGTGGCACTAAGAGAAAGCAATTTGAAGCATCTCCATCCCGGACTTCCTGGGTGAGGGAAGCTTCCTGGGGAAGACTGCCTGAGGCTGAGCCCAAAAGAATGAATGGGAATTAGCCAGGAAAAGTGTAGTAGACAGCAGTCCAGACAACACATTGCCAGTCAACCCATAGAAGTGGATCGTGGAATTCTAGGCAGACAGTGACTGAATGAAGATGGAAGGACAGGGAGGTGGTAGCCGCATCATAGAGAGCCTCTTATCCAAAGAACCCTGGACTTCATCTTCCCAGGCAGGCAGAAACGAGGGAGGAATTTAGAGTAGGGAAATGACTTGACCAGGTCAGTCTAGTGGGCATGGGGAAGGTGGGTAGGAGGGGCCAAGATAAGGCGCAGGGAGGTGCATGAGGTGGAGGCAGGGGTGAGCCAGGAAATGTTTAGGATGTAGAATCCTCAGGAATTGGAATGTGGTAAATAACTTAGAGGGGACAATTGAGGCTGATGCTCAGGTTCCCGGCTTGGGCAATGTGGGAACTCAGAAGTAGTTATGGACTGGAGGAAGGGAATGGGTTCACTTTGGCTATGAGCAGACTTGGTTTGAGGTCTCATGTCAGACGTACTTGAAAATGTGTAAGAGTTAGCTAGATGTGTGTACAGACAGTTTTTGATTTAACTGAGGTCCAACTTAAGAAAGATTTTTTTCTACTTTATGATGGTGCAAAAGTGATACAGATTTGATAGAAAACGTAATTTCACTTTTGATCTTTCTCCAGGACAGTGATACAAAGTTATGATACTCTCTTGCAATGCTGGAGCTGTGGCAGTGAGCCACAGCTCCCAGTGGGTAAATTAAGAATGGGAATCTGGAACACAGAAGCTTTTAAACGGTGCATTGGGGAAGTTCAGTTTATAGCAATACTCTGGGACAGATGAAATTGTCTTGGGTTAGAGAAAGAACAGACAATAGGAAACTGTGTCATCGAGGAGAAGCCGGGATTCGGCAGACATATATTATTCAGGTAGCTGAGGGAGGGGACACGAACCCGAACCTTCAACAGAAGCAAACCAACCAGAATGGAGGGCCCAGCCCCATGAAGGTGACCAGAAGGACCCCATGCTGCAGGCTGTGTGGGTAGCTGAGCAGAGCTAAGCAGCTTGACGAACCAGCATCTCTCCAACTGGTTGAAGACAAACTCTCGGAAGACAGTGCTCCATGGCACATCCCTGACAACCAACACCACCAGCCTGACAACTTGCTGGGGTGACCGCCAGGGGGTCTGAGGTGGCCGTCTGAACTATGTGGTCTGATCTCAGGCAGCAGGCCTTAGAGCACTGCCTTCACACAGACTGGAAGTGCTCACAGGTGGTGAGGACACCGCTTTACAATGATACAGGAGGCCTCATGTCACCCTCACTCATGGGAAGTTTGACTTGGTGGACTCAGCCAAGCCACAGAGGTCTAACACTTCTCTGTGGTGATTTCAGGCTGCCCTGGAGGAGAGCACAGTGCCTGCAGACATGTCACCGCTCCACGCATCGATGCTGGCAGTCCTCGGGGCTCGTAAGTAGTTTTGCTCCCCCCAATTCCTTGGGACTGTTATTCTCTATTGTTACCTATTTTTATAAATTCTACATTCTTGGTTTATTTACTCTTCCCCTTTTTCCCCCAGTGTGTGTATATGGTGCAGCTCACCTAGAGCAACCTCAAATTTCCAGTACCAAAACTCTGTCAAAAACAGCCCGCCTGGAATGTGTGGTGTTTGGAGTAACAATTTCTGCGACATCTATATATTGGTATCGAGAAAGACCTGGTGAAGCCATACAGCTCCTGGTGTATATTTCGTCTGATGGCAGTGTCAGAATGGAATCAGGCATTACGTCAGGCAAATTTGAGGTGGATAGGATACCCGAAACGTCTACATCTACCCTCACCATTCACAATGTAGAAAAAAAAGACATAGCAACCTACTATTGTGCCTTCTGGGAGGTGCACAGTGGCTGACAGTTACAGCTATCTCATTCAATAAATGTTTATTGAATCTGTATTTATAATTACAAATTGGGAAGCCACAGTTACCATCGGTGTGCTTGTAAACAGTCTTCTAGATAAACATTCATGTGGTGACTCTAGCTGGAGTTGCTAAATTCTATATTTTCTCAAAGCAGAAGCTTTGCATAAGTCTATACAAGTGGCCAGTCTCATCTTTTACAAGGTTCTACTCTCTCTCCAACAGCTTTTCTAGGTCACCCGTGTTTATTCATCTGGTTCAACCTCTCCTACTCACTATATTTTTTTTTCTGGCATAACATACACACATTTTTAGTGTGATTCTTTTGTACTAGTCAGCATGCATTACATCAGTTTTCTCCAATCTTCCTATCTCTCTTGAGTAAAAAATGGACATTACATTAAATGGTATTCATTTTTCTGAAGGTTAGCATGTAACAAACACAGCATGATCTAACCATGAGCAATGACAGATATAGCTCCTGCATACCTTGAGTGGTGAAGTTTGATTTTAATTCGTAAACACTTCCACTAATTAAGTCTATGTCAAAGTCTGCTTTGGATTGGGGTTTGAGGAAAAAATCGTTTTCTGGCTTAAGATTTCATTTATCCAACAATTACTTTTTTTTTTTTTTTTTTTTTTTGAGACAGAGTTTCGCTCTTGTTACCCAGGCTGGAGTGCAATGGCGCGATCTCGGCTCACCGCAACCTCCGCCTCCTGGGTTCAGGCAATTCTCCTGCCTCAGCCTCCTGAGTAGCTGGGATTACAGGCATGCGCCACTACGCCCAGCTAGTTTTTTTGTATTTTTAGTAGAGACGGGGTTTCACCATGTTGACCAGGATGGTCTTGATCTTTCGACCTCGTGATCCACCCGCCTCGGCCTCCCAAAGTGCTGGGATTACAGGCTTGAGCCACCGCGCCCGGCCACAATTACTTTTTGATAGACTACTTTGAGCTGGGCATTACACACGGCAGAAATGACAAGGCCCGTAAGCTCTGCAGAGGCTCGAGGTTGCTTTCGTTAAACTCCTTTCTGCTACTGGGCTGCCATTCACCACTAAAATGAAAGTCCTCAGTTTGAATATAACTCATGATTGTAAATCTCTCATGAATTTTTGTTACTTGTAGTTCAACTTAGGCTTTGTGATTTATTATTATTGGTGGTGGTGTTTTAATTTATTGTTATTTTTTTGCCATGAAACGCTTTCTTGAAATGTGATCTTACAAATATAAAATAGAGAAAAGTAGATTTCCACCAGTAAAGAGTTGAGGGATGGATGATTCTTAGTCTCATCTTCTCAAATAGCTCTGATACTTTGATTTTTCAACAGCCCAATAATTATCTGAGTATCACGTATAATGTACAAAGTGGTCAAGGTCCAGATAGAACTCCCCTTACCACGGACTAGCTGTGTGGCAAGGCCTTTAGCGTCTCTGGCTCCATTTCCTCACCCGTGAAGCAAAGGTCCTGCAGTTACCATATGGGGTGGCTGTGAGAACTTCAGAGCTGATGTGTATAAAGGATTTGGCCCAGTGCTTCACATATTATGACAGCCCAGTGTTATCTGACAAGAAACAAAATTAGATACAACAGACAAATAACAACAAGCACACATATATAGTCTTGTGTCCCTTAATGACAGGAATATATCCTGAGAAATGCATCTTTTGGCAGTTTCCTTGTTGTGCAGATATTGTAGAGTGCCCTTAACACACACCTAGATGGTATAGCCTGCTACGCACCTAGGATATATGGTATAGCCTATTGCTCCTAGGCTACAAACCTGCACACCACGTTACTATGCTGAATACTACAGGCTATTGTAACTCTGATCAGTATTTGTGTATCTAAGCATAGCATAGAAAAGGTATAGTAAAAATACAGTGTAAAAGAAAAACCGCTACACATGTATAGGGCAGTTTTATTATAATTTGTCCATCTTTGACTGAAACATGCAGTGTATGACTGTATATACAAGAAAACACACACACACACACACACACACACACACACACACACACACACCCTTCATAGATCCAGGGCTTAGTACTACATCTCTCATAGTGTGGCTATCACACTTTGTAGAGAGAATAGATAAATACGAAGAATCTCTTACAAGAGGTCATCCCAGATTAATTTAATTCTAACATTTTGGTCATGGTTCCCTAAGATTCACACACAGCTGGAGAGGACAGCGGCCTTGTGTATAGCACAGACCACCATTATGGGGAAAAAGTCCAAACTTACAGTCGTTTACTCCTTCCCACTTCTTCTTTTGGCTAAGGTGAGCTTCACCAGGGACATTTTGGACACACCAAAGGAAAACTAGCCAGAGGCAAAGCAGTTCTGTCTAAGCTAATATTTGCCAGTTAAATGGTTTAAATTTCTGAATCATAGAAACACTGACAGCATCTTATTAGAATATACTGTACTGCATATAGTAGGGGCTCAATGAATATCTGTTGAGTTGAGATTGATATTTTCATTATTATTGAGGTGTTCATTTTACCAAATGGGTCAGGGGGTTGTATGGATGGATGCTGTGAATATTCTGATGATTTGGATTCAACTTATTTTCTCTTATACCTGAGGTGGGTGAGATACAATGACTCTGGATAATAGAACCAACATTATATTATCTAGTTAACATAAAATTTGAATAAAATCTAAGGAAATCTTGGAAAGCAATATTTTCATATACCATATCATTATCATTATCTTCCTGGCTGATCCAGGAGAAAATTAGAAGGGAAAAATAATGGTCGCGGATTTCTGAGGAAGCAAAGCAAGGTAGAGCCTCTTTTTATCACCTGGCATTGGCAAACCCACCTCTTCAGCATTTTTGTTTAACTTTGGATTCAAAAGCATTTGCCAATAAAGATAAACGTCATATACATCATTAACAAAATATTGCTATAATAAGCCATGTATGAATGTTGCATACCACTTTAGGGTTTGCATTTAATCCTGAAGTGGTCACTTCCCTTCATGTCTGTTTATACTATTTTCCCATTTACTGAGCGGGGAGGGGTCTCCTTATATAGTGCTTCATTGTTAATAAGTCAATATCTGTTGTTTCTGGGATGTTCTTTTTGTGCATTAAAAACTTAAAAATTTAAAAAAAAAAAAAAAACAAAAACGGAGCCGGGCGCGGTGGCTCAAGCCTGTAATCCCAGCACTTTGGGAGGCTGAGGTGGGTGGATCACGAGGTCAAGAGATCGAGACCATCCTGGTCAACATAGTGAAACCCCGTCTCTACTAAGAATACAAAAAATTAGCTGGGCATGATGGCGCGTGCCTGTAATCCCAGCTACTCAGGAGGCTGAGGCAGGAGAATTGCCTGAACCCGGGAGGCGGAGGTTGCGGTGAGCCAAGATTGTGCCATTGCACTCCAGCCTGGGTAACAAGAGCGAAACTCCGTCTCAAAAAAAAAAAAAAAAAAAGAAAAAGAAAAAACGGAAACTCCCCACGCATACAAGTACTATAGAAAAAGTAATGTCTACTGCCCAAGAGTCATTGTACAGAAACCACAATTCTAGAAGTTGCTGTATCCACCTGAAAATCCATGTTGACTGTTTTTTCTTGGGTGCTTTTTGCCTTCAGTCCTGTGAATGGGTTCACAAAAGGCAGCCTGGGGTAGGGAAAAAGGGCACAGACTTTGAAATGCTTATCTCCAGACATTGCCATCATGAGTATTTTTATTCATGTCATCTATGTACTTTTGAAATGGCTTAATAGAGAACATATCACTTTTGAATTTTATTTTAAAATTTACTTTAAAAAAGAAATCATGTTTCATAATATTAAACATGTCTCTGCATATGACTGAACACCTAGAGACAATATGTAAAATTTGTTGGTTAGAATGGCCTGGAAGGGGCCTGCTTGACTGCCTTTTTTTTTTTTTTTTTTTTATTTTTTTGAGACAGTGTCTCTCTCTGTTGCCCAGGCTAGAGTGCAGTGGCACGATCTAAGCTCACTGCAACCTCCACCTCCTGGGTTCAAGCAATTCTCCTGCCTCGGCCTCCCAAGTAGCTGGGACTACAGGTGCATGCCACCACATCCAGCTAATTTTTTGTATTTTTAGTAGAGATGGGGTTTCACCATGTTAGCCAGGATGGTCTTGATCTCCTGACCTCATGATCCTCCTGCCTCGGCCTCCCAAAGTGAATTTTGCTTCTCTTTCAAAATGAAATCTTATCTTTTCTCCTGTTTCCTACTGATCACTCCACTGAGCTAAAGAAAATGTTAGTGATTTGAGTGCTCAAGGCAGCTTATTGGACTTGTATGTCTTTGTTGAGCACTAGGATTTTCAAGCCTGTAGATCCAAGATCTTGTGAAAAAATAAACAACTTTTTTTTTTTTTCAGTGAGTTAATTGATATAGAAGATAATGGCCACTCCCACCCACGCCTTTTGGATACTGGGCATCAGCTGTGGAGTAAATGGCCCTGTATATTGGCCAATGGAGGAGGATGCAGTCAACTGAAGGTCTCTTGTCAAGGAGAGAATGCTGACCCCACTCTCCTATTTCCCAGCTGCCTGCTGGTACACAAAGAACACCTGCAGGGTAAGGAAGAGCATCCATGCAGCCCAGCGTGGTCAGACTTTTAAGGCAGAGTCAGGTGGAAAATGGTCTTGGATGAGCAAAGGAGGAAATCATTCAGATGGCCCAATAAGTGGGTTATGTTTGACCCCAAATAAGTAAGACAATCTAAAGAGCAAGACGGTTTTATCTAGTTTCGTTTCACTTTCCACAAAACCACGAAGATCCCATCTCCAACAGAACAGATGTGTGACTGTTCCCTGAGTGAAAAAACAGGAAACTGGACAAATCTTTTGAGATCATCATCAACTGGTACTTCTTTAGATGATTTCTTTTTTTCTTTTTTGGATGTTTTATGTGACTTTAATTTATCAGTTTGTTTGAAGTTGTTCATAGCATGCTATGCTGAAAGTATTTACAACTAAACTTAAACAAGTACAAGTCAGCGCAACAAAAGACTATGAATTTACTTTAGTCAAATGATCTAATTATATTCCGTGGAATTTCCATTCCACTGAGACATTAATCAGCTAAGGTATTTATTGAACCTCAGCATAGACACACTGTATTTCAGCCTAAAGTGTTTGTTGGGGGAGGAGAATGAAGTAACAGTGCAATCATTGCTTGAGAAATTTTATTTCACTCGTTGGTTGTGGCAGAAAATACCAACTACATATTTTTCTCTAATCTTCCTATTTTTTTCAATATCTCCATTTATATGACATACTTATTTCAAGAGTATCAAAACAAGAATGATTTAAATAGGAGCGTGTATATTATTTGTAATGCCTTTGTTCTTCAGTTAAGTGAATGGGTATCAAATACTTGTCTCATTAAATAAATCACCAACATG